CCTCCCCCACGCCCGGGCCCGGCCTGCACTAGGCCGCGCATCCCCGGGCTCGCTTGCGCCGCGCGGCCCGTCGGGCCGCCGCCCTCCCCGGGGAGCGCCGGGTGGGTGACCCCCCCCGGGGCGGGGGGCCGAGGGGAGGGGGGCTGGGGACGGTTACACAACCAGGCGGGGAGGGGCCCCGGGGCGGGGAGGGGGCCGGCCCGCGGGCCGCGCAGCCGGAAGCCGGGGACCGCCACCGGCCCCCGGCGAGGGGAGCCCGGCTTCAGGCCCCGCCCTCGGGCCGGCTCGGCCCGCCCCCGCGCCGCGCCGCGCGATCGGTCCGCGCCCATTGGTTCGCCGGCCCGCCGCTCACCGCCCCTCCTCCGCACCGCCCCTACCCGCGGACCGCGGCGGGCCGCCGGCGCGAGGCACCCTGGGACTTGTAGTCCGAGCCGCCTGCCACCTGCCAACCGCAAGCGGCGGGGGGACTACGACGTCCAGAAGCGCCCGCGGCCGCGCCCGCCCACCGGGACACTCCACCCCTTCCCCCTCCTTTGCAAAGCCCCCCTCCCTGTTTTTTCAGCCCCCTCCCCCCCCATCCCCCATGGAGCTCAATCCTGGCCAACTCCAACGTATGCACGCAGCACCGAATAGGCCCCCGGGGGGCGAGAGCGCCCCCAGTACCTAGCTGCAAACTTAGCACGCGACGCGCCCCCCTATCTCCCCACGCCGGTTTCCCCCACCCTCAATGCGGCCCCGCTTCCCCTCCCCCGCTCCCCGCGCGCCTGGGATCCCCGAAAAGCCATGCACCCGGGTGGGGGGGGCTGGGGCACAAGCCCGTGCACTTCGCCCCCAATCCCCCTTCTCGGGCGGCGCCCCCTCCCCGCGCTCGGGATCCAGGGCGCCTCCAGCCTCCGGGCAGCTGCCAACCACCCCCTCCTCTGAAACTTGCGGAACGTCCGCGGTTCTCCTGATCTCCCCTTCCCGAGAGGGCAGAGGTGGGCGCAGCGCCCCCGGCCCGTCCCCGCCCTGCACCCCGTACGGGGGGCCGCGCCGGGCGCTGACTTACCTCGCGCGGCCGGGCCGGGGCCGGGCCGGGCCGGGGCGCGAGGGGCCGGGGCCCGGAGTTGGGACTGGGCTCCTCGGCCGCTCGCCTCCGGGGTCCGCGTCTCTCGCTCTCCGCCTCTCGCGCTCTCCCCTCGTCGCTCCCTCGCTCCGGCGGCGGCGGCGTCACTGCCCCTACAGTAACTGTACAGTACAGCCAAAGCCCCGTATGATGCTCGCGACTCCCTTCCTGGTTTCTCCGAGGGCAAGAGGGGTCCTCCCTTGTCTTAAAGGTGCCGCAGCCGCCGGCCCCCCCCCCACGCCCAGCCTGCCCCCCCCACCCTGGCCTCGGAGGCCAGAACAGGCTCGGCAGGTCCCCTCTTGCCACGTCTCTGCCCTCCCGTGGGGCTTCGCCCGCTGCGCCGGGGAGACCGGGCTGTTATTAGGTTTTGTCAAGTTGGGGGGGGGGGTCCAGCCCGCCCCCGGCGCGCCCCCCCTCCTATGACCTCTCCGCCCCGCTGCGCGGCGCCGTGCCAGCTTGCCAGCTTATCTGGCCCCAGAGCTCCCCGGGGCGCGGGGGGAGCGGGCCCCCCGGGGTGGAGGGGGGGTGGGGGCCTCCAGATAAACAGGCCCCCAGCCTCTGCGCAGGGGCGGGCGCGGGGGGGCGCGGGCTTTGCCCCCGACGCCCGGGGCGTGGCAGGATGGCAGCGGGGGCGGGGAGGGCTGTGCGCACTGCGAGGACCGACGCGGGCGTGGGTCGCAGCGGCCGGGGCTGCTGGGGGTGGGTGGGGGGCGAGGGAGTGGGGACCCCGGGCCAGGCGCCGGCCCTCCCGGGGCCTCAGTTTGCCCAGCCGCAGAAGGGACCCGGGGGCGGGTTTTCGAATGACGGCTTGGGTCCGCTGGGCTCCTGGGTCCCTAAATGAAGCAGCCAACCTGCCTGCCCGCGATTATATAAAAGAGTCGCCTCCGCCCGCTGCGCCAGGGGCGTAGCGGGGGAAGGGGTTGGCGAGGGGCGGGCTGGGCGGTTGTTTTCCCGGCTTTCCGAGTTCCCCCACCCAACTGCGGGCCGCTGGGCTGGACGGGGACCGGGCCCCGGACGTCTGGGTCCTGCGGGCCGCTCTCGCCGGGGTCTGCGTGGCTCCGGAGGGGCAGCGATGGGGAGTGGGGAGGCGTTGGCTCAATCCAACTTTTTTCCCTGTCCATTTCTCCCACTTCCTCCCCGGTCGTGGGAGAGGTCCGGCGGGGGACGGGGGAGGGGGAGGAGGGGACGAGCGTCGAGAACAGCCTGACCCGGCCCGGCCGGCTGCCCGCTGCACACAGTAGGCGCCTGGGGAGGGCTGGCTGGTGCGACCCGCCGCGTGGGGGGCTCTGCGCCTCAGTTTCCCCTTCCTCCCTCCCTTGGACGGAGAGGGCTGGCACCTGCTTAATAGCTGCCTTTCACTGAGCGCTTCTCGAGTGGCTGGCTCTGTCCGGGGTCCTGTTTACCTCCATTCTAACATCTAATCTCATTATACTCATTTATTGCTATTATCATCACCACCATTACCTTACGGGCAGGAAACTTGGGTGAAGTGGACTCAGTCTGTCCTTCTCTGACTTCAAAGCTTCCCACCGCCCCTTGTACTTTATTACTTCTGCGCACAACATATTAAAGGCGCCTTTCAACTCCCAAACGGGTTGAATCGGCTTTTGTAATAATAATTTGGCTTCAAGGGGAAACCCGGGAGGCCCCCAGAGGGGAAGTGACAGCCCCAGGTCTTGCAGCCTGAAACCAGCCCCTAATAGGTGGGAAGGGACCGAGGGAGGGGCCACGAAGGTCTGGGGTGAGGGTGGAACCCAGGGACTTTGCTCTAACGACCCTGCCTGGGACGTAAGCCCTTCTTCCTTCCTTAAACCACCCTGCCATCAGCCTTGGGATTAGAAGGGCCGAGCAGAAAGACACTTTGCAGGTCTCAGGGTTGTGCCTGGACTCCGGCAGATAACTAATGCTCTGTTCTTACTCCTCAATGGTCTCACCCCCCACACACACACCTCACCGCAAGCTCCACCCACTCAGCCAGTACTCAGTTTCCCCTCCTGTACCACCTAGTCTCAAATATCCTGCACCCTTTCTCTACAGTTGAGAACCTGATTCAGGAGGGGACGGGAATGCATATAGAAGATTGGCATTGAATCTAATCCTCAACACGCCCTGAAAAGAAGCAGGCCATTTTCTATAGGAGCAAACTGAGGCCCAGAGAGGGACCATGAGCAAGGATGTCAAAGGCAGCATTCACCTGGCTCTGGATCCTGCCAGAAGGGCTGGGGGTGGGTCCTTCAGGATATGCCAGGATGGCAGACCCCTACCTCCCATGCTCACTCCTGTCCCTGATATGAAAATAGTGAGGGAGGCAAAGCTTTGTCCTGACCCCCATTCCTCACTCGCTACCCGCCCAAATACCCAAGTAGATACTATTTTAAAAGCTAATAAGGTTAGGGCACCTGGGTGGCTCAGTTGGTTGGGCGACTGCCTTCAGCTCGAGTCCTGGAGTCCCGGGATCGAGTCCCACGTCGGGCTCCCTGCTCAGCGGGGAGTCTGCTTCTCCCTCTGACCCTCCCCCCTCCTGCTCTCTCTCTCTCTCATTCTCTCTCTCTCTCTCTCTCAAATAAATAAATAAAAATCTTTTAAAAAAATAAAATAAAAAATAAAAGCTAATAAGGTTATAAAAGATTGAGTTACCGTGTGACCTTGGGCAGATTACTTAACTTCTCTGATCCTCAAGAGTCCATTGCAGAATATAATGATAGAAACTTCCTAGGGTACTAACAAGGGAGACAATAGGTACATATAACATTCTTTTTTAAAAAAATATTTTATTTATTTATTTGAGAGAGAGAGGCAGAGATAGTGAGAGAAAGAGAGAGAGAGGGAGAAGGAGGCTCCCCACTGAGCAGAGAGCCCAACGTGGGGCTCAATCCCAGGACCCTCAGATCATGACCCAAGCCAAAGGCAGACACTTAACCAACCGAGCCACCTAGGCGCCCTACATAAAACAGCACAGTAGGGTAGGAGAGAAGTCCTCCATACATGCTAGATGTTATTATATTGATGTTATTACTACTGTTTGGGCCATACCCCCGATCCTGTTCCTGGCCAGGGCAGCAATGAAACCCACATTTCAAAGAAGAAAAGTTCACACACACACTCAATGCATTTTTTACTTCATTGGCAGACCCCCATAAGTTGCTTGGCAAAAGGGTTTTCAGAGTATGTCAAGACCAGCTCCATCTTAGCAATAAAACAACATGAAAATCAACAAATATTTGGCACTTGCCTCAGAACAAATTTGTTCCGGGGTAAGTAGTAACATCAGCTCTGGATTTCTGAATTCCACCTTTGAATGCAAATTTAGTCCCTCTGTGTAGCAGGGATTATCATCCCTGATGGACAGGATGATGGTGCAGAGACCCAGAGAAGGCATATAACTTACCAAAGACACAGCGAGTGAATGGATGGACCTGAATTCGAGTTATGTTGGCGAGGCTGCAAATTTATATATTTTGAGCAGATAATTCTTGTCACCATAAGCAGGGGTTGCTTCTGGGATGGAGAAACAGAGGGGGTGGGGAGCAGGGTCAGAGACCTTCTGTTCACTGTCTTTGATCTTTTGAATTTTGCATCATGAGTTTTTTTTTTAAGTCATCTCTACGGCCAACATGGGGCTTGAACTCACGATCCCGAGATCAAGAGTCACATGCTCTCCTGACTGAGCTGGCCAGGCACCCCGATGCATATATTATTTATAATGAAATTTAAAATAAAGTCACATTTCTTAGCTTTTGTGCTTCAGAGAATACCAGCGAGAAAGTGAAAGAAAAACCCACGGAGGGAGAGAGAATATTTGCAAATCATAGCTATAAAGGTCTGCTCTCGGAATACGTAAAGAAATTTTAAAGCTAGCAATAAAAACAAAATAACCAATTGTTTGAAATGGGCAAAGGATTTTAATGGACATCTCTCCAAAAAAGATATACCAAAAAAAAAAAAAAGATACCTTTAAAAAAAGTTGCGCAACATCATTAGTCATTAGGGAAATGCAAATCAAAACCACGATGAGACACCACCTCACCCCCACTGGTATGGGCTGCATTAAAAAGGCAGACAATAGCAAGTGTTGGTGAGGATGGGGAGAGACTGGAGCCCTCCTGTCCCACTAGTGGGAAAGCACGATGATGCCACTGCCATGGGGGATAGGCCGGCACTTCTTCCCAAAGTTAAACAGAGTGACCATCTCACCTGGCAAGGTGTGTGCACCCAAGACAAATGACATCTGGTCCACATCGAAACATGGAGGTGCACATCCATAGCACCATTATTCATAACAGCCCCAAACTAAAAACAGTCCAAATGTCCATCACCTGATAGATGAATGCACACAACGCATCCGTCCACGCACTGGATATCAGCCCCAAACAGGAGCGAGGCACCCACACGTGCTGCCCTGGGGACGGACCCCGAGCCCACGACACTCGGGGGGGGACCCAGACACAGAAGGCCACGCAGCGTGTGAGGCCACGTGGGTGACACGTCCAGAGCAGGCTCATCCACGGACGGGAAGGGGGCTCTCGGGGGTATGTGTGGTGGGGTGATTGCTAATGGGGACACGTTTCCTTTAGAAGTGATAAAAATGTTCCAAGATTAGATTGTGGTGATGGTTGTACAACTTTTGAGTACACTGAAAACCACTGAATCATACACTTTAAAGAGTGAATGTTTTGGTACGTGGATGACATAAATTTTTAAAAAGCAAAGCAACACCCATATTCACAGCAGCATTTTTCACAACAGCTGAAATGTAGACACGACCCAAATGTCCATCAACAAAGGAATGGATAAACAAGATGCGGCTCATTCATATGCTGGAATATTACTTGGCCTGAAAAAGGAAGGACATCTGACACCTGCCATGACGTGGAGGGACCCTGAGGACACTGGGCTCAGTGAGAGAAGCCAGACCCAGAAGGACACATCCCGCAGGACCCCACTCCCAGGAGGTCCCCAGAGGGGTCCCGTCCACAGAGACAGAGAGGAGAAGGTGGGAGCCAGGGCTGGGCCAAGGGGTGGGGAGTCCGTGTTTAGGAAGATGGAAAGTTCTGGAGATGGAGGGTGGGGGTGGGCTGCAGGACAGTGTGAGTGTGCTTCATGCCATTGACTTATACAGGTGAAAATGGTTGAAATGGTCAATTTTCTGCCATATATATTTTATCACAATAAAAAAGTAAAAAGAGGGGCGCCTGGGTGGCTCAGTTGGTTAAGCGACTGCCTTCGGCTCAGGTCATGATCCTGGAGTCCCGGGATCGAGTCCCGCATCGGGATCCCTGCTCGGCGGGGGGTCTGCTTCTCCCTCTGACCCGCTTCCCTCTCGTGCTGTCTCTCATTCTCTCTCTCAAATAAATAAATAAAATCTTAAAAAAAAAAAAAAAAGTAAAAAGAAAAATAAGTCGACCTGAAGGAGGATATGAGGGTGGCCATGTTCTATCTGGTTCCAATGTCCCAGTGGATGGCACGTCCCATTAGTATATAAGTGTGGTTGTTTAGGAATAAGATCAAATTTTTTTCTCCCAAAAAATTAGAATTAAAAAATGGAAAGGTGCCCCCAAAACAGCGTGAGGGGAAGATGTTAGCATTACTTTAAGCAGATGACTGCCCACCTTTATGCTCCCTCTGTCACACCCATGGCTGAGTGAGAACACCCGGCAGGGCGTGAGCGGCCCGCTGGGGACCTGGGGTGCGCATCCGGGGAGCACAGACAGAGACAGCGGTAGCAGAATGAAGAATGGATCTACTTTGAATGTCAAGTCGAGAAGATTGGATGCTGCGTCAGATGTCGGGGGGATGGGAAGCAAAGAACCCAAAGGGCTTCTGGGGGCCACAACACATTGGTTTGGGAAGACAGCGAGCGTGAGGCGTGAGCCATGACTCCATTTTTTTCTTCACAATGGAGATGTGTCCATTAGATGTCGAGAGGCAGTGGACAGATGAATCAGGAGTGTCGGAGAGAGGGTGGGCTTGGCACTGGGGGTGGAGGGGTTGGTCTTCCCCAACTCGACGGCTGCATGGCATCCCCCAAGGGAGCGTGGACAGAGAGGGCATCCCCGGGCACCCCAATGCTGGAGTCCAGCAAAGGGGGCAGAGAAGGAGGCCTGTGGGAACCTAGAAGACGATTGGGTCACGGCCAGCAGTTTCCAGCAAACGGTCCTGGCCGCTCACTGCCTAATCCTCGGGGCTCAGGATACGGTCCTGCAGAGCGGCGCCCACTAAACACCTGCTTAAAGAACAAACATTTGTCTTTAAGCTTGCAGACAAGAAAAATGGCGAGCATCAGGAACCCTCATGCAATCACTAGGGACGAGTCACACCAAAGCAGGTCTTCATTCGCTTGTTAGATCAAACCATAGAAGGAGACAGGCAGAGGGTACCCCAAATTCCAGCAAAGTCAGGAGCTGGACGGTGCCCGGGAGTGAGGAAGAATGTGGCGAGGGTATGCTGATCAGCAAACAGACCGGGGTACACACGGCCCGTTCCCGGACCTGCCTGTGTGTATGTGTGTGCATACATTTCTTTTTACTCTTGATCTCAGTGTTATATAAATAATATATACACAATTATTTTTTTAAAAGGCTCCTGATCTCTTTCTTCTTCTTCTTCTTTTTTTTTTTTAATTTATTTGATAGAGAGATTGACAGAAGAGCACAAGCAGAGGGAGTGGCAGAGGGAGAGGGAGAAGCAGGCTCTGCACTGAGCAGGGAGCCCGATGCGGGACTCGATCCCAGGACCCTGAGATCATGACCTGAGCCGAAGGCAGACGCTTAACCATCTGAGCCACCCAGGCGCCCTGATCTCTTTCTTCTATCTTTAGAACTGGCAGTATGACATTCTTCCAAGATCTCTGACCCTCCTACCCTCCTCTTGTAATGGACCCTATAAAATATATCAGCTGCTTTCCTAGGGTTGCTGTCGTAGGCTCCCCAGACTGGGTAGCACAGACCAGCTGAAAGACAGTCTATCAGTTCTGGGGCCTGAAGTCCCTAGTCGAGGTGTCGAGGTATTGGCGGGGCCACGCTCCCTCCCAAGACCCCAGGTCCTGGCCTCTCTCCTAGCTTCCAGGAACCTCACAGACCCATGGCCTGGTCCCAGGATCGCTTCCCAGCGCCCTCCCTCTGTGTGGGTCTGTCTCTCCATGTCCAGATGTCCCCTTCTTATAAAGACAGCAGTCATGGGGTGCCTGGTGGCTCAGTCGTTGGGCGTCTGCCTTCGGCTCAGGTCATGATCCCAGGGTCCCGGGATCGAGCCCCGCATCGGGCTCCCTGCTCCACGGGAGGCCTGTTTCTCCCTCTCCCACTCCCACTGCTTGTGTTCCCTCTCTCACTGTGTCTCTGTCTGTCAAATAAATAAAATCTTAAAAAAAAAAAAAAGACAGCAGTCATATTGGATTAGGGGCCCACCCTCCTCCAGCATGACCTCATGTTAACTAATTATATCAACTTCAATAACCGTATCTCCAAAGAAGGTCACGTTCTAAGGTGCTGGAGGTTAGGACTGGAACATGACGTTTGTGTGTGTGCGCACGGATGTGTGCACGCACTTGTCCACATATAAACACATCTACCTATCTACCTGGCTATCTATCCATCATCTGTCGTTTTTACCTTGACTCGAGTGAAGATGCCGAGGTGCTGAAGGCGAGCTTATCAACCGTTCGGGAGCCACGTCTGGCTGAACAGAGCTACGTCTGGATTCGAGGTAGACCACGAAAAAACACCCGAATGAACACCAGGTTTCCTGGAGGGGCCGTAAAGATTCTGTGCATGCTCTCAAAGGCCAGCTGGCTGCATGGGGACCGAGGTCCAGTCTGGGAAGATGAGAAAGTTCTGGAGACGGGTGGTGAGTGTGGCCGCTCCCCAGGGTGAGTATTCGAGGCCTCTGAACGGCACACCTAGAAAGGGTTAAAATGGTAACTGTTACGCAATGTATAATTTACTACAATTATTTTTTAAAAGGGGGGAAAAGTCAGTTGGCTAACTGCAAGGCGGGGTCCTGGATGGGGTCAAGAAACAGAAAAAGGGCCTTAGTGGAAAAACGGGCGTAGTCCAAATCCACAACAGAGTTTTACTGATGGGGGTTTATGGATGTTGGTTCCCAGCTGTGAAAATAAAGGCGGGGGTGTATGATGTTGGCTTTGGGGGAAGCCGGGTGAAAGGTGTATGGGAAGTCTCTCTAGAATCTTCGCAGGTTTTTCTATAAAATTCTAAAAGTTTCCTAAGAGGGACGCCTGGGTGGCTCAGTCGGTGAAGCGTCTGCCTTCGGCTCAGGTCATGATCCCACCAGGGTCCTGGAATCGAGCCCCGCCTCGGGCTCCCTGCTCAGCAGAAGCCTGCTTCTCCCTCTCCCACTCCCCATGCTCGTGCTTCCTTTCTCTCTCTGTCTCAAATAAATGAGTAATATCTTTAAAAAAAAAATAAAAAATAAAACTTTTCTAAAATGAAGCTAACAGCCAAAGACAGCAAAACTCAAGGCTACATGGGTGTATACATTTGTCAGACCCATCAAACTATATACTTAATATCTGTGCATTTTACTGTATGTAGCCTATATCTAAATTTTTAAAAAGATTTTATTTATTTATCTCAGAGAGAGAGCACAAGCAGGGGGAGTGGTAGGCAGAAGGAGATGGAGAAGCAGGCTCCCCGCTGAGCAAGGAGCCCGACGCAGGACTCGATCCCACGACCCTGGGACCATGACTTGAGCCGAAAGCAGATGCTTCACCGACTGAGCCACCCCGGTGCCCGTAGCCTATACCTTAATTTAGAGATACCCGGCAAAAGTCACCTGATGGAAAACGTCCATCAGATTGGCCCAGAGAGTCCACATTTTAAAAATGTATCTAGGGCGCCTGGGTGGCTCAGTTGGTTAAGCGACTGCCTTTGGCTCAGGTCATGATCCTGGAGTCCCGGCATCGAGTCCCGCATCGGGCTCCCTGCTCGGCGGGGAGTCTGCTCCTCCCTCTGACCCTCCTCTCTCTCTCATTCTCTCTCTCAAATAAATAAAATCTTAAAAATAAATAAATAAAAAATAAAGATGTATCTAAAGGAAATATTTTGGGTTGCGCTTCAAGACGTAGCTGCAAGGATGTTCAACTGAGCGTTGTTTATAAAAGCAAGACACAGGAGATGATGCAAATGTCCTGTGGCAGGAGTTTTGGGTAATGAAATACGCAGGGGTGATATTTAGAATATTTGGCCACCTGATAAAGCCTGAGCACTGAGTGGACAAGTACCTGAGAGGGGGATGTCAGACCAGCTCTTGGTCGCAGCTGAGCCTCTGCCTGCCATCCGGCACACTGCACGGGGCGCTCTAGCTCCGGGCTGGCAGATGCGCACAACCTCAGGAGAATTTCCTGGAAGCCTTGTGGAGAGCCCTTCCATCAGACTCATCAGGTCCAGCTCCAAATCGCCAACAGGGCTGCTGAGGCCTAAGTCAGAGAATCCAGAGCGAAGTTTAATTCCTAAAATTATGTTGGTGTTTGCATACCATGTTCGTAGTTGCCAAAAGGTGCAAGCAACCTAAAGGTGTCCATCCATGGATGAAGGATACACACGGTGCAGTCCATCCACGCGTGAGAACACACTCCAGCCTTAGAAAGGAAGGGACCCTGACACCTGCCACGACGTGCAGGGACCCCGAGGACACTGGGCTCAGTGAGAGGAGCCAGACCCAGAAGGACACATCCCGCAGGACCCCACTCCCAGGAGGTCCCCAGAGGGGTCCCGTCCACAGAGACAGAGAGGAGAGGGTGGGAGCTGGGGCTGGGGCAGGGGGTGGGGAGTCTGTGCTTCACAGGGACAGAGTCTCCGTGTGGGGAGATGGAACTTTCTGGAGACGGAGGGTGGGGGTGGCTGCAGGACCGTGTGAGGGTGCTTCATGCCGCTGAGCTGTGCGCTTAGAGATGGTTACGGTGGTGACTTATGTGTATCTTACACAATAAAAATATCAAGAGTTCTGGGAGCCTGGGTGGCTCAGTTGGTTGAGCGACTGCCTTCGGCTCAGGTCATGATCCTGGAGTCCCGGGATCGAGTCCCGCATCGGGCTCCCTGCTCGGCGGGGAGTTTGCTTCTCCCTCTGACCCTCCCCCCTCTCATGCTCTCTATCTCATTCTCTCTCTCAAATAAATATTTAAAAATATATATATATAAAGAGTTCTGATCTGGTTTTTTGTTTGTTTGTTTTTTAAAGACTAAAAAGAAGGAAAGCAAAGAATATCAGGGTCCAACTCTGCAGAGGCCAGCCTTTTTGATCTGGCAAGTAAGGACATTAGTAAACAAGAAGGGGCACTGCCCCCCGTCCCCCCCAGACTCTGAGTCCCACTGGGGCCACAGTGCTGAATTTGTGGGCCGCTACATTGCAGGCCATGGGTGCCCAAGAAACCCGGGATTGTGTGCGGGCACGAGGAAGGCTGGGGGCCGCCAGGAGCCCCTCCGCGCTGCCCCCCTGCAGGTGAAGCCTACTCCCACTCGGGCTCCTCCCAGCTCCCCGGGCTCCACCCGAACCCGCTCCCGGGCAGAGCTCACATTTAACCAGCACGCCCAGGGTGGCCAAACCAGGTGCGCAGGTATGAAGGAGCATACCTGCCTGGCAAATCATTGCCACTCGGAGCGCCCGGAAGCCTCTCGTAGGACAGCCCCCGAGTATCACAGGAGTCCTGCAGCCTCCGGATCCACAGTGGCTGGGGAGAAGCCCAGCCTCCGGGTGCCTTGGGGGCTAGGGCAGCACCCCCCCCACCCCTGTAGGCTGTTTAGACTTGGCCCACAAGGTGGAGGAAGAGGGTTTTTTTCTGGCACGGCTTGCGGTCCCTTACTGCACCCCGCCGCTCAGTATTCCTATCTGTGCAATGGGCCTTGCAGCTCGCCACTCCCGGAGGACGCCTCCCTCTGGCCTCTCTCCCCGCCTGCGCCCTGGTCTCCTGGACGCCCCTGCACTCCCAGGCTGGACGAGGACCCCAGGGCCTCTCAGAACCTGGACAGAGGGCTGCAAGGCCGGGGGCCAGCCTGCCTGCCTTTGGGGCCTGGCTCAGAGCTCTGTCTCTGCCAGTCTCTCCCTGGCCTGGCCCCACGTTGTAAGAATTTGCTGAGGGCCGTGGGTCACAAGAGAGAGGCTGATTCCTCCCCCCCCCCGGGCCCCCCCTTACAAAGAGTGATGTCTGGGGACATCAGTGGTTGTGACACTAGGGGGTACTCCTGGCATCGAGCGGTTGGGGCTGGGGATGCTGCTGAACCCCCCACTCCATGTGCTCAGGACAGGCCCCCCCCTCCCCGAGAAGGATCAGGCCCCAGATGGCCACAGTGCCGATGGGGAGAAAGTCTGGCCTGGGTCTAACTTCAATCCTGCCTGCTGCCAAGCATGCCCCTTGCTGCTCCCTCTCTGTGCTCTGCAGGGAAGGAAAACTTGCCCCATGGCTCAGGACAACCCAGGACTTGAGCCATCCCGCTGCCCACTGCCCCGGCCGCCCTAGGCAGCCGGTCTCCACTCAGGGCCTCAGCTTTCCATCTGGGCAATGGGCCTGAAGCTGGATAACGAGGGAAGCCTCAGAGATGGTCCCCGGGGGTCGGCTTCACCTGCGGGACCCCAAAAGGACCAGGCCAGTCCTGGCCCTGTGCCCCCAGCCCGGCCAGAGACAGAGAGCAGAGGAGACCAGACCGCGGGGGTGGGGGGGGGACGGGAGAACACTCCTGCATTTCTGGTCCGAGTTCTTTCTTTTTTTAAAATCACCGCAGTTGAAGGAGCGACTCCTCCCTCCGTCCTGCGCCTGCCACGTGGGCCGCCCGGCAGCCGCCCCTGTCCCCCGGCCCTCCCTGGGCTGGGCCGGCAGCAGGAGCTTTGGTTTCACTTTGTTGCCACCGGTTTCACTTTCGGGCAGGAGAAGAAAAGAGAGAGGCAGAGCGAGGGATGGAGAGCGCACAGGAGGCTCCGCCAGCCACAGGGTCAGCCGCCTCGGCCACCGCAGTCCCATCCCGGGGGGTGGGGTGGGGGGGCTGCCTCCTGACCTTCCTCCTGGCCTGGGGATTCTTGTCTCTTTCAGAGTCAAGGTCAAGGGGTCAAGGTCAAGTTCGCTAAGTGACTGTGGGCGGGGCAGGGCACCTCCTCCCTCTGGGCTCCTTTCCCCAAACCCACCCCCTTGAAAGTGGGGCTGTCACTCCACCAGCCAACATCAAGGACGGTCCCACTGCATCCCCAGTGGGAGCGGGTGGGGCAAGGTGCAAGGCAGAACAGGATGTCGGGTCAGTTGACTTCCCCCTGCAAGGGACCCTTTGGCCCAGAAACCACTAGGAAGGAGGCTCCATGTGGTCCGAGTCTGGGCCTGGATGTGTGTATGTTGTGGGGGGGTGCGAGGGGGAGACGACAGTGTCCCTGAGGCCACCTGCCGTAGCATCTGTCTGGCAGAACCAGGCTGGAAGCCCAGCTGCTCTGCTGGCTTTCCGGCACACCTGCCCAGCTCCGGGACTCGGTGTTTTCATCTGTGAAATGGGCGTGGCCTTGTTGCTTAGCCCCATGCGCCCCCCCTCCTTGGGGGGCCCTGCTGCCCTCGTGCAGAATGGGGGTCCACTGCCTTCTGAGCCTGAGAGCCACGCCAGGGCAGCAACCGGGCCCCGTGCCCGTCTCCGCAGCACAGGATCAGGGCCTGGTAGAGGACTCGCCAGACAGGACCGGGGAGTCACCTGAGGCATATGTCAATAACATGGCGCGGGCAAGATAGACAATGTGTGTGCCAATGGGACAGGGTGGCTTGTTTTTTTAATAACAGCTTTATTGAGATATTAATTCACCCACTTCAAGTGTATAATTCACTAGTTGTTAGTACGTTCACGGAGCTGTGCAAACACTACCACTCTCTAATTCTGGAAAGTTCCATTACCCCAGAAAGAAGCCCTATCCCTTCCCCTCCTGCAGACCCTGGCCCCCACGAGCCCCCTTCCCGTCCGCAGATGAGCCTGTTCCGGACGTGTCACCCACGTGGACTCACACCCCGCGTGGCCTTCCGTGTCCGGGTCCCTCCCTGAGCGTCCCCGCCCCCATCAACGGTCACTCCCCACCTTCTCCCCCGCCCCCGCCCCCTGAGCCCCCTTCCCGTCCGCGGATGAGCCCGTTCTGGACGTGTCACCCACGTGGACTCACACCCCGCGTGGCCTTCCGTGTCTGGGTCCCCCCCTGAGCGTCGTGGGCTCGGGGTCCGTCCCCGGGACAGTGTGGGGGGGGGCCTGTGCTCGTGGCCAAGGGACGCTCCCGTGCGTGGGGGACACACTGTGTGTATCTGCTCTTCAGCTGATGGGCATCTGGCCTGTTTCCAGCCTGGGCTCTGGTGAATCACACTGCTGTGAATGGGGGCAGGTGTTACGGTGACCACAACGTGTTGACTAGTGTGTCTCCACCCCAGTAAGTGATGTTTGGGGACCCTGTGTTTTGTGGGGTAACAAGCACCATAACGTGCAGAGAGAGGAGGGGCAGCCCGCGGAGGGGCTCTGGCACCCAGGCTCTCTAGGTCTCTGCTGGGCTCCGGGAACCCCTTCCCCACCCCCTAGGTTGGCCCAATGGTGAACCCGGGACTCCCCCAGAGGCCCCCAGGGGCTCCCACACACTCAGGGGCAGCCCTCAGATGCTGGCTGACACAGCGCAGGGGGCCAGGAGGGCTGGGAACACAGGTCTGGAACGCAGTCCCTTCCCTTTAAAGGGGAGGACCACTGGGCTGCTGTGGGCAGGGAAGGGAGGGGAGAGGCAGGGAGGGGAAGGAGGAGTCACACAGGGAGCCACTTCCTACTCTTTAATGTGGGGTGAAGACAGGAGACAGCAAACCTAGGGGTTCTTTCAAGCAACCCTCCTGACCCCCAACCCCAAGACCCCCGGCCTCGGCCTTGCCAACGCACCTCCCAGGTCCTGGTGCTGGGACCCCATCCCCCTGCGGATCAGCCAGAAAGCCAGCCCAAATCCAGGTGTCATCCATGGGGAACCAAGTCCAATGTCTGCTCATGGGCCCAGTGGGGAGATGCCCATTCCAACCCCCTGCCTGCTTTTTAATTGGGGCGCTTGTCTTTTGGTTGCTGAGCTGTAAGTATTCTTTATACTCTGGACCCTAGAGCTGTCTCCCACTCTCTGGGTTGTCTCTTGATGGGGTCCTTTCATGCACCCGATTTGAGCAGTCCAAGCGCACCTGTGTTTTCCTTTGCTGCTTGTGCTTACATGTCGTGTTGAAGAGCCCACCGCCAGGTCCGAGGCCAAGAAGATGGGAGTGGGAAAATCCAACAAGCAGCGATGCTGAAGGTTCACTGGAAGGTCTGGTGGCCCTTGTTGGGGAGGGGGTGGGGAGCAGGCTGCCCTGAGTGGGGGGGGGAGGGGGGATGTTTGTCCTGAGCCTGAAGTTTGAGCAGGAGTTGGGGCTGGAGAGGGGTGATGACAGAGAAGCTTCCAGAACAGGGAGGGAGGCGAGAGTGAGAGTGAGAGATTTGCACTTCCCCTGCGCCCCTCCCCTTCCTCCCCTCTCCTCCCCACCCCATGACCCCTGGGCAGCCCCTGCGCCTGCACCCTGGGTCCCAGGGCCCAACAGACATGGGGGTGGTGATGTGACTGTGTTTAGAAACCTGGGTCCCGGGGCGCCTGGGTGGCTCAGTTGGTTGGGCGACTGCCTTCGGCTCAGGTCATGATCCTGGAGTCCCGGGATCGAGTCCCGCATCGGGCTCCCTGCTCGGCAGGGAGTCTGCTTCTCCCTCTGACCCTCCCCCCTCTCATGTGCTCTCTCTCATTCTCTCTCTCAAATAAATAAATAAAAATCTTAAAAAAAAAAAGAAAGAAAGAAACCTGGGTCCCTGTGAAAAAATCCTGTCACTGGAAGAAAGGAGATGAGGGTCAGGGCAGGGGGGTGGCGAGTGACCCCTGCATGAGCTTGTCCGTGAGCGGAGGGGGTGACTGCAGCCACACAGAGGGTTACAGGGGTGAGGGAAGCAGGGGTGGCCTCCCTGAGAAGATGAATTCTGAGCAGCTGCCCACCCATCAGTGAGTAGGAGCTAGGCAGGTGCAGAGGGAACAGAGTGTGAAAAGGCTCAGAGGCGAGCAGAACCGGACATGTGCAGGGAGTGGACAGCCGAGCCAGGTGGGCTTGGTTCTTTGGGGGGCAGGGGGCACCCAGGACAGCTTCTCAGGGTCCAGGCTTTACCTCCACCCAGCCAGGGTCTCTGTGGAAGAGACAGATCTAAGGGCTGGACCCCGGGCAGGCCGTGTGGGGGTCTCCAGGCCACGGCCTCGCCCTGCCCTTTAGGACCCAGCTCTGTGACGTTCTTTGCACTCCAAGGTCTGCTTCCCTGAGGCCCCTCATTGATGCCTGGACGTGCACCCCCGCATCGCTGGTGTGGCCCCCAAGAGGACAGCCACAGTCGGGGCTAGACCCCCGTGCGGGGCAATCTGTGCGTCCTGCTCCTTATTAACTCAGCTTCCTAAACCTGTTTGTCTGAGGTTACTGCCTAGCTCGCGGTCGGCAGCTGTCCCTGGCACAAACTACTAGTTTCTTAGCCAGACACCCAACTGACCTGGCTCCCAGCGTGGCCACCACCCAGTCCTGCGCCCAAGGCCAGCGGGGGGTTGAGTGCTAACAGGCTTCGGTTCCACCCGGTGGCCAACGACCAGACCCCTTTATTTCCCACTGCACCACCAGAAAGGGTCAACACCAGGCATAGCGGGGTCCCCTGACTCCCTTCTGAACCCAGGTCCCTTCCCGTGTCCAGGGGGGTGGTCACTGCTCCACTGGATGGCTGTTAAGTATTTTGAGCCCCATCCCCCCTCCCCAGGCCAGTGGATCTTCTCCAGGGCCCATGTTCTGTGGCCCCACTGCCAAGCCTTGGCCTCCGCGGGTTCCCCTGCTGGGGGTGCCCCCTGCCCGAGGGCCCTTGGAGACCCTCCTTCACAGGCGGTTCTCGGCAAGAACACCCAGTCCATGGGGTTCTGCCTCGCTTTGCCTTTAGCCTTACGGGCGCTGTGAGTTCTGTTCAGCTCTATGGCCAGGCTGCGGACCCCGTAGCGGGGCATCAGTGGATTGAAAAGACAGCGACCGAGTCAGGAGAAAGCGTGGCTTTGGCGACGGCAGGATGGCCGGCGTTTGTCCTGGGGGAGGTGGGACCCTCTGGGTGGGCCCCATGTCACCCTGGGCAAGTAGCCTAGCGTCTCCGGGGTCAGAGACCTGTGCGGCCCACCATACGGGGTGTGGCCGGGGTAGAGAGAGAGGGATTCAGGGCTGCTCTGGGGAGGATCTGCTCTGTAGGCCTGGGAGGACCCCCTCTGCTGGTGGGGCGGGGAAGGAAGGGGGGCTCCCAGGGGGCATGGCCTCCCTTGAGGCTGCTGAGCCAGGGGGAGAGTGCTGTGGGTCCTGCAGCCACGGGGTGGGCGTCCCAGGGGAGGGGGCAGGGCCGTGGGCGCAGTCCCTCCCTCACCCGAGGCCCCCGGTTCTCCAAGGGCTGCTCTTCGGGCCTCCCTCTGTCCCCTGGGAAGCCCGGGGAAGAAACCCGAGACGGAGCCTCGGCCCCGGTTCAGGCTGCTCAGGCTGCGGTGGGGCCCAGGCCTCTCCCTCCGGCCCTCCGTCCTCCTCCTCCCTCCTCCTCCGGAGCCAGCCCCACGTTGCCATGGGGACGGCAGCCCAGCGGGTCCTCCACCCACCTGGCCGGGGGCGGCCCCAGGCCCACACACCTGGCCAGCTCCAAGCCCGGGAGGGGCGGGGCCTGGAGGGCCCCTGCTGCTTTCGTTTTGAAGGCACCCCTTCCCCTTCCTCACCCCACCCCACCTTGGACCCCGCTTTCTGGGAAACCCTGTGGCAGTTTCCTCTGACCTCTGTTAACCCGGAGTCCATGGCCCACAGAGGGAGGCCGACTTCCGCCTCTGACCTGAGGCTTCCTGCCCGGCACGTACCTCCGCCCAGAGGGCTGGCTGAGCACCCTTCTCTGGACTCCCCACCTCCCAGAAGGTTCCAGGCCCCCTCTGCCCACAGTCCTCCAGCCGCACCGCGTCCCGGACTATGGCCACAGGAAGTCCACTGGTTTGGGCAGGGAGGCTGGGGCACAGATGCTCTCCTCTTGGTCCATCAAACTGGGGTAGGGTTTAGGGCTGAGTCAGGCTCTCTGCCCTCGGCATCGTCCACGTGGGTGCTGTGGGGGTGGAGCAGCACCCCCGGCCCACCCCCTCGGTGCCAGGAGCTCCCCAGTGGACCACCACAGACGTCCCAGACGTGGCCCAGCGTCCCCTGGGGGCAGGGTTGCCCCAGGTGAGACCCCTGGGAGGCCACACACATTTAGATACACACGCTGAGGGACATCTGGCTGGCGGGGGAGTGCGCGGCGCTTGACCTCGTGAGCTTGAGCCCCACCTAGAGCTTACTTAAAAATAAACACACGGAGTGGGAGGGAGAGAGGGGGTGACTCATAGACACCGGGGTCGCCTGGTTTGTACCCCAGGGGCTTTACTCTGGGGTCCAGCACGAGCAGGGGCTGGACTCAATTTCTTTTCCAAATAATTAACGCGGGGTCTCCCCCCCACCGCCCCACTGCAGCCATTCGGGATCCTTCTCTGCGGGCGCCCAGGGCGCTGTGGGGGGCTGAGCAGCCTCTCTGGCCCCCACCCAACAGATGCCAGGAGCACCCCCAGTGTGACCACAGACATCTCGGACATGGCCCTGTGTCCCCAGGTTGAGAACCAGCGGGCTGACAGCGGAGCGGGCTTGGGCCTCTGCTACCCAACGCGGCCCCCGGCCCCGGAGACGTGGCCACGCTGGGCTGAGGTGCGCTGCGAGGGCAAAAGACACGCCGGATTCCAAAGGCTCCGTGGAAGAAGACACAAAGAACGTAAAAGACCACACTGCTAATTTCTCACATTGGTTACAAGGCGAGAGGGTAGTATTTTGCCTCTGTTGGGATGAATAAAACATGCCATCGCATTACCTTCCCCTGTGTCTTTCCCCGTCTTACACGCAGCGCTGGCCCGGCGGTGACCTGGGCTGGGTCTGCAGGCTCATGCCCTGCGCTCCGCCCGGGGCCACCCCGCCGAGCTCGCTGCGGGAGGGGAATGCGGGTGGGCTTTCCTGGGGGAGGGGGGTGCACCACCAGGCCGTCCGGTGAGCCGCTCAGGACTCCGCGGCACAAACGGTGCGGAAGGGAACCAGGCGGGGACGGGGCCCACCCTCCGGGGATGCAGGGCACAGGATGAGAAAAGCTGGCGCGGACAAGACACTCGGGATCTTCTCCCAAACCAAGCGCAGGAACAAAAAAGCAAAGACAACACAAAACAAACGAAGAACCCAACCAACGCTCAAGATCCCAAAGCTCGGATGCCTTTCCTGATTGATTTTGTTTGCACAGAGAGGTCAGAAAGATGGGGTGTCCGGGGGTCACAGGTGTCGTGCCCACAGGGGCCCCCGAACATGGAGGCGGGGTCTTCGGGCTCCCATACTTGGTGGCATCGGGATTCTTCAAGAGGAGCCGAGAAACCTCAACCCGGCCGCACAAAACGCTCTGTATCTCCTAAGGGCCACCTTCTGCTGACCCCATGTCAGGAGACCCCAAAACCAACCGCTCCTACGCAACTCAGGAGGAGCCTGCCCCTTCGCAATAGAGCCTGTCAGCAGGTCTGTCTGGCCGACGGGAGAGCCGGGTGTGCAGGGGAGACACCAGGAAGTGCTGGCCTAGGTCCCCAAGGTTCTGGTGAGTTCCTGGCTTCCCAGGAGCCTGGTCTGGGACAGACAGGGAAGAGAAAGAGTCCGCTTCTCTGTGGTCCGGCCCTGGGACACCAAGCAACAGAGGCCTTACCCCACCGATTCCAAATCCTCCCCGAGCCCTCAGGACCCAGTCACCGTGGTCTCTTACTCCTTGAAAATGGCAGCCCGTTACCAGAGGCTCGGCGGCCATGGCGTGTGTGGGACAGGCCCCAAGATGCGGCCCATCGTGGTGGCCCGTGTTGGGCCCCGCCGCCCAGACGCTGACCCACCTTCCCGGCCCCATAGAGCGACAGCGGCGGATTTCGGGGTATCTGCTTTATTCTCTTCTCAATAGGTGAGACTTTGGGGACTAGGAAGTGGTGGAAACCCAGAAAGCCGGTGGAAGGAGCCAGCAACTCGTCTCCTCTTTGGCGTCCACAGGAAAAAGCACAGGAGACTGGGAGGGCGGCCTCCAGAAACCCAGGGCTGGCCGCCTGCCGTGCCCGCAGAGCAGCCGAGTCCCGCGACCCGCCGCAGCGTCCAGGGGGCGCTCACAGCCCCGCCATCTTCAGAGCTGGCAGGGAAGCCTCAGAGGCGGCCCAGCCTTGGGTCCTGGGGCACGTGCACATCCAGATGGACACGGGAACTGGGACCACCTCACCCTCACCGTTTCCTTTCCCAGCAGCTGGTGCTGACCTGCCAGAGGGCCTGAGGGATGCGCCCTGGGCAGTCACTTCCGATTCTCTGGGGGAGCCGAGGTGACATGAAGAGCCACCTGCCTGCATCTGCCAGCCCGCAGGCGTGGGGACAGCACAGGCCCATCTGCTGGATCTGTGGGGCTTTTCGACCACACCGACAGCCTGGAAGCCCACTGCTCCCTTTCTGCCAAGTGTCAGCTCAGCAAGTGCCACCAAGAGTTAGAAGTGTCTGTCCCCTGCAGCACAGGAAGGGGTGAGCAGGTCCCTCCTGGGGGTAGGTCACAGGCTGCTGAGCACAGACAGGTCAGCGGCGTGACAAGAGGGAGGGAGGGAGTGGACCCCATGACCACCAGTGGGCCCTGGGGACCACCTCCAGGGGTGAATGTCGGGCGTCATGCGAGGGACGACATAGGAGCGTGGGGCGGCGGCACCTCCCTTTCTTTTGGTGAAAGACACCAAGGTCTAGAGGTTCCCTGAGGCTGCATCCCCAGTTCCTGGTGTCCCCCCTACCCCACCGCTCTGCCCCAGGTGGGCGGTGGGCTCGGGGCTGGGACTGCCAGCCCACCCCCCCACTGAACAAACAGAACAGGAAGTACAACGGGCACAGTTTGCTTTTTCTTTCCCTGTTTTGTTTTAAACCTAAGAAGCAGGTCCGAGAAGACACCGCGAGCAGCGTCACCCTCCCCGGGGACCGGAGGCTCAATGTCCACTGCGGGGTGTGCGGGCAGCTCCGCGGAAGGCGGAGGGAGAGGCGGGCCGGGCCGGGGGAGAGGAGGCCCTGACCTGTCCTGGGCAGGAGGGGCGGGGCACGGGTGGGACGGCGGGCAGGTCGCCCATGGGACCCCATCACACGGCGGTGCGCGTGGGTGTGCTGGGCTGGTTCAGCCGCAGCGTTTTACACAACCAGCCGGCAAAATCCACTTCTTCCACCTCGGACCGCTTGATGAAGGTGTGGCTCTGCAAGGGGAGGAGACGCGCGTCAGGAAGGAGCGCGGCCCGGCAGGCCAAATGGCGCCAAGCCTGAGCGGGAGGTGATGCTGTGCTCACCAGGCCCAGGTCACCACCTGGCCCCGCCAACGCGGGGCCGGTCACACTCTGAGGGGCTGAGCAGTGTCCCCAGCCCCCACCCCTCGACGCCCAGAGCACCCCCGTCGTGAAGCCCACAGACGTCCCCAGACACCGCCCTGTGTCCCCTGGGGACAGAGTCGCCCCTGGGTGAGAACATCGGATCTGGAACAAGAGAAGCCTCCGTGAGGACAGGAAGTCCCCGACTCGTTCCGTCTGGTGTGGCAGCCACTGGCCACGTGAGGCTCCTGAGCCTCGGACGTCGGCTCCTGGGGCTGAAGAAGAGAAGCGCGCGTTCCGTTCCGTTTCAAGTATCTGAGATCAGCACATGGCTGGTGGTTCCCGTCCGGGACGGCGTGGCAACAGAGGTTCCTGGTTGAAGGCTGGGGGGCGTGAGCAACGCTGTCCCCACAGGGTGTGCGGGGGAGGGGCGGTCCTGGGGGCTCGGGGTGCATGGGAGGAGGCCTGGTCCCCCACAAGATGCCCAGGCGGGGGGGCAGGAGACGCCATCCTCACCTTCCCAAGAGTCAGCACAGGCTTGGGGGCGACAGGACAGAGGGCCAGACTCCCATGGTCTGGGGCAGCAGGCCCCACAGAAAGTGGTTTAAGTGGGGCAGAGACCTGGGAGCCCCATGGGGACCTCAACATCAAGAAGCTTGTACATCTGTACATCTTACACCCAACACGCATTTGTGACATCACACGAACACTCTCTACGGCGGACACAACAGACTCTCGAAGAACCAGGGCACACAGACCCTTCCCACATGGTGCTCTCCGCGCCCACGACCGGGAGACGCTGGCTGTCACCGAAACTAACGGAGGGGCGCCTGGGGACAGGAGGCGCCTCACAGGAGGCGCCGAAGCGGAGACCCCAGGATGGGGACAAGCCAGTCGAGAGGGGCAAGGGCCGTGTCCCCCAGGGAGCAGGCCTGTCCTTTGCAAAGGCCCTGAGGTGGAGGCTCTTTGGAGGAGGCAGGAAGGCCGCGGCCCCCTTACTGGAAAGGCTGAGTTCTGACAATGAATAGAGGCTCGAGTTCTGCCGTTTGCATGCCCGAGACATTGGACTGGTGCCCGTGACTGTCATGGTCTCACGTCGTGGGGGTGTGTGAAGGGTAGGCTGCCGCAGGCATGGCAGGGGTGTGGGGGGACGAGAGCTGGCAGTGGAGGGGGCTGAATGCGCCAGTGGTCTTGCATTGCTAGAGGAAAGGGAGTCTCCACGCCCACCTTGGTTCTCAAGGGCATCAGACAGTGTGGACTTACAGGGGGGCTGGTAAGCCCAGGTTTTCCCAGCCTGTGGGGCCCTACCACTCTCAGTAACACCCCTGACCACAGGCACGGATGGGCCATCCCGTGGCTCCAGGAGCCAAGGGAACCACAGCTGCTCTAGATCCTCCCCACTAATGAAGCCAGGAGACCACAGGGGACATGTGGCCCAGGATGCAGAGTTGGCTTGAGAGCTGGTTGGGGTCTCCCCGAGGTGAGCCCGTGCCCCTGCGATCACTCACCATGAGCATCTTCAGATCCGCTCGCTCTGCTGGGTTCTTTATTAGGCTGGAGAGGAAGACAGAGGGTGGGGGAGACAAGGCAGGGCAGTTAGCCAGCGGCCACGGGGACTTGGTTTTGAGCCGTCATCGGTCAGCCCCGTCCCCGCGCCTGGCCCATCTGAAGCCGGACGCAGCAAGAACAGAACCCGCTCTGCTGTCCCTCGGGTGTAAGGGCAGGACCCCCGGGGAGGGAAGGGTAAGGGTCTGAGACCAGGACAAGAGGGAAGGGGAAAGGCTGAGGGGACCAGCTGGCCGCTGCCGGGTCTGAGGCCCAGCGCAACCGCACTGCTAATAACCCCCTAACCTGGGCGTCTGAATGTCAAAATGGAACTTTTTCCTTCAAAAAAGCAGAACTGCCCCTAAAGACTTGCTCAAACCGGCCTGAGGCCAAACGGTGGCTGTTCAGAACCAAAAGAAAATGAGAGGGGTAGAGAAACATTCACCCAGATCCCTGGATTCATGCCGCACACACTGGCAGTGGCTGTGCAAAGGGCCGGTGGTGTGGGTCTGCTGCTGTCTGTGAGGTACTCCCCAGGCTGACTCCACCCGCCCTGACATGCAACACGGCCCTCGAGGTGAGGGGTGGCCCCGGCCCCTCCTGTTGCAGAGCCTGCGCGCCCCAGGCCCCGCTGACGCACCGAGAGCAGCTGACCGCTTGCCAGAACCCGACTTGGAAGCCTTGTTGGGAAGCTGGTGGGTTACAGGGCTTGACGGCTTAGGAAACTGGGACGCCTGCTGGCGGAAGGCAAGGCAGGAATCCTGGTTTGTTCTGGGCTTTGGGGACAGGATGGGGACAGCACCTGGACACCGCGACTCAGTAGCCTTGGAAAGGGAACCTACTGGGTTCTCAGGTGAGCTCCAGGTGCCCCCAGATGCCGCTGATCCCGGCAGAGGGGCCCGGCCCAGGACCAGGAAGGAAGTGTGCATCT